CATTTTCCCAATGGAGATGAGCAGTTAGTATGAAAACAATATTTTCAGAAGGACTAGTACACACAAGGCCTTCTGAGACTTGAAAAACATGACAGTGTTTTAATAATAATCATACATTAAGTATAACTGCTTTACAGAAAATGCTAGTAACAAACTCCAAGTAACGCATTCACTCACTGCCATTCAAATATACATTCACTCTGTAATGGAATCTTTCTGCACTCCTGCCAGAAACTATGTAAACAAAATCACCAGGTCTAAAGCCTGGGAAAGTAAGTGGGAAATGGATACAAAAACTGTTCAGGCATTCTTAGAAATGCAACACAGATGTAATATTAAATTTTGCCTAGAACTATTACCTTTTAAGGAGTCAGCAAATACATATACACTATAAAATAAATAGAAAGATTAAGCCATACAAATGTACATGTCACTCAGCTCCCAACAGTCAAGGGGCAAGACTGTTATTTTTTCTTTTAACTCATGCAGAAGGATGGTTTGTTAAAACACTAGGAAAATGCTTCATAATTTAGATATAGTTAACTGTGTAAATGACAGAGTTTAGTCTAGTTTTACAAACAACAGATTCTGAAACTTGGGAACTTCAATAAAGGAGACCATGATCAGGTTACATATGATACGCTCTTTATAAGGACAGGAAATTGTACCTACAACAAATTGTCAACTCCTCTGGCTCCTAGGCTTTCCTATCCAGCTTTCTTGTTAACAAAAACATTATTTAAAATTTGAGGGTAATAGAAAACATCTTTTAAAAAACACTATACTCAAGCAGCTAGCAGCAGAATCTAAGATGGTGACTTACAGCTGGCATACTGATGTTGGTCGCGCAGCGTGACAAGTATTAAATAGCTTGTTTCTAATAATAAGTACTAAAGTTGGTAGGTTATTTTTAATATAAAATTAATATTCCTGGTACTATATTATCATTCTCATCCACTCACACTCCAGCATGCTATCTCGAGTGGCAGTCAAAAGGAGAAACTAGCATTAAGAGGTCCTGGGAACAATATATTGTAGCTGCAGAAGTGGCACAATCTGGTCCAACTTTATTTAATAAAATGGTTATTTTTCAGTTGCCATTAAACTCCCAAGTTGCAGGTCACGTAACCTGAGCATGCCCAGATGAATCAATTGTGTTCAATTCCCTGGTGCCAACTGTAGCTAAAAAGTCAACCATAGGCAGAGCCAGTGCTTGGACTGAGAAACAGGAACCAAATAATAAGCAAGGCTAAGCATCTTCTCACGGCATCCTGCAATTAGATCATGCCTGTTACCCTCTGTTTCACAGGCTCACAGCACAGGGAGACAGAATTGAGTACTGCCTCCTGTCTCCTCACCAGCCAACTCGCAATAAATCCTTGGCATTATTGGGCACAGTGGCTCACTCCTGTAATCCTAGCACTCTGGGAGGCCAAGGCAAGTGGAATGCCTGAGCTCAGGAGTCCAAGAATAGCCCAAGAAAGAGTGAGACCCCCATCTCTACTAAAAATAGAAAAACTAGCTGGGCGTTGTGGCAAGTGCCTGTAGTCCTAGATACTTGGGAGGCTGAGGCAGAGAGTCCATTGAGCCCAGAAGTTTGCAGTTGCTGTGAGCTATGACACCAAGGGACTTTACCCAGGGCAAGAGTGAGACTCTGTCTCAAAAAAAAAACCACCCTTGGTATATGTGTATATTAGGCACTGAGCCTACTGCTTGCTTGGTAACAATTTAGGGAAAAGCCTATGTTATCATACAAGTAAGAACAGTGGTTACTTTGGTGGGAAAGGAAAGAGTTCTGATTGGGAGAGGCACATGGAAAAGGTTGTGGGATGGCTGGAAAGGTTCTATTTCTTGACTTCATTATAGTCGTAAGGGCTCAAGATGTTTACCTATTATTCACTAATTATACACATGTATTGTGTGGTATTCTATATCTGGTTTTATTTTATAATAAAAGATTTTAAAAACACTAATAAAGTAGGAAGAACTCTAATAGCAAGAAGACTATGAGAGCTTAGTGCAACTCACTTCATCTTTTATTATCTTTTAGAAAAGGTAGGGATATGAATAAAAACATATCTTAAACCTCAGCTGTTTTTATGTAAAATGGACCTAAAACAAATACACTGTATACCACGTCGGATTTTAGTGCTAATGAAATTAAAGTATACTTTTGAAAGCACTTTGAAATACTCTAACATTCTCTACAAATGCAAAGTATTCTTCCAACCACCAACAATAATCGATAGTATCACCTCTCTGCTTAAAGCCCTTCAATGACACCATCTACTTTGCAGTTTTTAAAGTGTTCTTTGTGGAAACCTGGGACTTAACAGACATGCTTCAGGGATAGGGAGTTAGGTACAGTTGTACATGCTTTGCACAAGGGCGTCTGGCACAACTTGGCCTGAAATCCACCTCCACTGTTTGCCAACCCTGGAATCTTAGAGACTTTCTTGTGATGCCCAGAGGTGGCACCTTCTTCTAATTTGCTCAAAAGTATTGCAGCCTTGTTCAAAGATTTGCCATAAACTGAGTACCTTCTTTTTGCCAAACAATAAAGACATAACCTTCTGAAAATCTTCAAAGTTTAGACAAACCACAGACAAACACACTTTATGCTTATGTTTCCCTGATTTACAATAGATTTGGGAATTTGAGTTCCCTTTCTGTGAACTGCCTGTTCATATTCTTTGTCCATTTCCCACTGTTGACTCACAGAACCTATTTATATATTCTGAATCAATCCTTGTCAGTTATAAGCATGGTAAGTCTTTTCTCCTAGTCTGCGAACATTTATAGATAAGTCACCACGAAAGTTTTGAGATACACAAAAGTGAAGAAATGTAAAATTCATATGGACAAAAACAAAGCCCACTGATAAAGCAGAAAAAGCTGAAACTTGCACAGGTAAATCAGAAAGGACACTGTAAAAAGTGTTTTTTAGAAGTGAAATAATGAACTGTAACAGTCTCTCTCAAAATTTCGAAAGCGACCCATGTATATTGCCGATGGGAGCGTACACTGATAATCTGTTTGAAAACAATTTAGCAGTTCTTACTTTAAGTTAAAAGTTAAGATGAAGTTTACACCTTCATCTTTACTGATTATTTTTCATTAAAAATAAAGGTGCAAATGTGATACATCCCAGCTATTCCTCCTCTCGCCATCTTTCTTAGGCAAGATCTCATACATGGGTACAAGGAGATACATAAAAGACTATTCATTAGAGTACCATTTGTAACAGTACAAAAGTGAAAACAGATGGTTTTCATAATCGAAATAACCTCTCTCATTTTTCCCCTCTTTTCTCCCGAGTTCTATGCCTTCATTTATTCATTTACCGTCTTACGGAATATCACTACACACCTACTCTGACTAGATTCCATGCTAGACAGGCAGTCAAGTTTAACTATTTTAACTGCCCTACTAAACCATGGCCTCTTAGGGGCTTCAGGAGACTTTTCCTTCCTCTGGATGTTGGCACAACTTTTACATGTCCCTGTTTAAGTAATTGTCAGTACCCCATTATCCCTGCTATTCAATTATCTAGCAACGAAATAAGTGAAGGCAGTCTAAAAATCACAGATTGAATTAAGTATCTGAACAAAAGACAACTCTATTTTTTCTAGATCCCATCCAATAATTACCAGAAAAAGAAAGAAAATTTACTTTCCAACCGAACATTCAGGGCTAGAATGTTACCTTCATGACTAGTTTGTTCAACTTCAAATCTCCAGCAATTAGATTATTGTCTGACACATAAGAGTCACTCAAAAAATACTTCCTATGACAGAAAAGCCCACGCAATATTATCTAACAAATAATGATCCTTAAAAGTAAACACGGGATGACTTATTTTTGTAGCTGTTTGATTATTGAATAAATAAAAACTATTTGCCCTCTTAAATAAAAAACGTACTTTCTTTCATGGTGAGTTAGCCTCACATCTTCCCACTCAAATACTTTTAGGTCATGTCTCAATGAATACCCTCTCTCTACAAGGCTACCAAAGACTCAAAGTCAATAATCTTCTGTGTCACTAATGTAGGAAAATTCCTACATTAACCACAGAAGTCTGAAATCACAGAACCACTGTAAGATATATAACATTTTGTCCTACAAAGAACACACTGGAAGTAAAAGCAATGCTTTTGTTAAAGACTGAAAAATGAAATCACACACACAAACACAGAGACACATCCACACACACATCTCCATTTGTTAAAAAGTTATTTACATAGTTAAAGTTGAGAAAATTTTATGTCCTGAAATTTAGTGTGTAAGGGCCTCATTTTTGCTATTTTCTATTTTATCATTCTATTACATAATGTAATTATGAATATTTCCATAAAATAAGACATAAAGATTTAAGCACTCTGAGTTACTAATTGCAGGATCATAAAAATGGTTTACCAAATTGTCAATTCAATTAAAATTCTACAGTACAATTCTGTTTTTTTCGATCAAAAAAACCCCCTTATTAAGTAAATAAATAAAAGCCAGGCATGAACTAATAATGAGAGTATGCCATGAAACAAAGACACGTTTAATCCAATTCTGTGCAGCTAAGATTAAAAAAAAAAAAAATCCCACAAGCTGCATAAAGCTTTCTTTGATTTCAACTTGCATGTTAATCATGCTTGTCACCAACTCCTGTAACAAATTTTATTTTCATTAGATGGTGCATCTTATAATATCTGTTGTTTCTAATGGTCTTGCTTCCTTACTAAGAATATCAAAACTTCCTGTTTCCTGAAGGCTAGTATTGCTATCAGTTATGCTTTCTCTGAAAAGGTAATGACCACAGAGTAAGTGCAATAAATACCTGTTAAACACCCATATTTAAATTATTCTGCAAATTATCGAAGTACAGTATGATCCCTGTGCCCTAAATTGCTTTAAAAATATTATATTACTATCTTTAATTTAAAGATTCCTAGTGAAATACTCAGTAAAATAACTAATTGGTTACACAAAGATCAAAATCACCTGCTCACCTGTTATGGCTGAAGGAAGCAGTAACAGAGGTTGGCACCACAGTCTGCAGCCCTTCCCCTTCTATCTCAGTGCCCACAAGGCAGATGAGCTGGAGTTCAGGTAAACCCACACAGTTCACTTCATGCCAACTTTTACCTGGAAAAAGCATCATTGAGTGGATAATAATATTTATCAAAAAACAAAAGATAAAAACTCCAAACTTCTACCTACTACTCATCTGAGCAAACATCACTCATAACACTACCTCCTAGCTTCACTTTCCTGGTATTTTCTGTTACCTAGTAATACCCAATGTAAATAAATGAAGAAATTACAAAATGTAATTGACAAAAAAGCAAATGCATAAATGATTATTATGTCAACCATGCTATATCCCAACCCAAGCCTCCAAAACCCCACCACAGCCCCAATAACAAAATGATATAAACAAACAACTTACTCTCCATGAGGTCCAGGTAAACCAAAAATGCTATATAAACTTGGCTGGCATCTCCTATAGCTAATTCCATCATTTCTAAATACTGAAAATCAAAACGTAATTGTCAAATAGAGAAGGAAAAAATCTCCTAATATTTTCTTTCAATCAACAAATATTGATTAAATATATAGGTATACCTAGGTACAAAGTTAAAATGCAATATGAGATCTGATCTCTGTCTCTATAGAAACTGCAACTATTAAACATACACATACTTAAAACTGTTAGGCAAATAACAAAATATGACAATAGTTATTAAAAGCCATGCGAGTGGAATAAAAAAACATGACACAATAGGTTAGAGGAGCTCTATTCATGGGGAACGTTGAGTAGAGAAATTTGCTAATAAGATTTTTGTTTGGACATGTTAATGGGAAGCCTCTATTTCCCCAGCCTCTGATTTACATGTGGAGAGAGTCTCTACAATACTATACCTAGACTCTCTCTCTAATTGTTCTCATCTATAGGCAGTTATTTGTTAGATTTTTATGAATAAACTAAGCAAGCTCCTGCTTCTTTCAGAAGTGCCAGTCAGCTTCAGGGGCCTACCCCTGTAGAGGAAGCCTGAGGCTATTGGGCTCTGTCAGTAACTAGGTGGGTGAGCAGGGCTAACACAGAGGTGAGGTATGATTAGACCCACGTGGTGGCAGATCTTAAGTCACATTCTCCTTTCAGCTTCACTCTACATGTACGGGTACAGGAGAACAGGAATGTTATTAGTTGGCCACCTCAAATGCGTTTGAAAATGACAATGAATCTATACATTCAGATCAGGTAACCAACTTAAAAGTTTGAATTTATCTGTAAGGAAGCACTGAGGATTTCCAAGCAGGAGAATATAGTAAAATAAAAGTCAGATTTGAGGATGGTAAATCTGATACTATTTTACTGGATGAACTTTAGTAATTTTCAAATTGAATCACAAAATGTCAGAACTGGAAAAACGAACATCCACTATCACCTCTTTTCTTCTATTTAAAAAAAATCAATTTTATCTTTTAAGAAGAATACGCAAAAGGGAAGATTTGATGGTCAGAGTCTACACAGCCATTAATTTCAGAGAGAAAAAAAATCTGAAAGTACTCACATGTAAACTACCTAACTAGCAACACCAAATAAGTCTAGATGAGATTTTTAAAATGTGTCACTGGGGTTTCATTTATTAAATAATTATATTGTGCTTTCTATATACATTTCACATCAAACACCCTACAAATATTAGCTGATTTAATCCTGTAATAACCCTGTGAAGTAAGTACATATAACATCACCATTTTTCAGAGAGCAAAACTGAGGCATAATGGCATCAAGCAAGCTGACCAAATCACAAAGCTTGTAAGTGACAAAACCAGGATTCAAACTCAGGGAGTGTAACTTTGAGTCCATGCTCTTAACCACTGCGCTGCCATCTCCACGTTAATTTTCTTTTTATGGCACTAAATAACATTTTATGTTATTTTTTCTTTTTCTCATCTTTTGGGGAGGACAAAGAGCACAGAGCAAGAGGATAAAAACAAACAAGAGAAAATGCAAAATAGTTAACTCTTTTCAGACTTTTTACCTTCAAAATTTTCCTTTTCTTGATTTTAGATGGTTATCTATGAATTACCGCTCTCAAGGGGAAAGGTGAAAATCATTTTACTACACCTGGGATTTCTGAAAAACCCAGATCGCCACTGACTGCTTGGGCTGTTAAGGCAGCGATTTCTCAAACTGAAAGTAAGGGTCTACTTCTCTTGTTGCTAATATAGAAAAATACATTCACAATGTGAGTAGCTCTACTTTGGGCAAGAACCTATTCAAATTTTCCAATAAATCTGAAAAATAAGGGATCTGAACCTGTGCAAAATAAAGATGCTTTGGACACTTCGGGTCCATAGTTAAATGTAAACGTAACTGTGCCCTAATCTTTATCATTATGCACGCCCGGGTCTTACCTATGGCCCACAAACTGCTTTACGTTACTCTGAAGATTAATCAAGTTCATCCCCCAAAAGAGCTCTGTCTAGACAGCAAAACTCAGCTATCAGGAGAGCGCTTATTAGGGACCTCGGGTTTGAAAGAGGCGGGATTTAATGTCTTCCACTCAGTTTAAGAGTGGCTTGGGGTGGGGGGTACTGGAAAGGTGTCAGAGCGATAGCTCAATTCGTTTAAACCAGCAAAACACGATCCAGCTTTGTGCTGGCAGAGGTGCACAGCGGTCCCCGGCCGTGAGGGCGGCGCGCATCCTCAGCCATCCCGCCGGCAGAAAGACGGAGCGCAGCCCACGAGTTCCGCCCGGGGTAGGGGTCGCGACCGGCGCGCTGTCCTCCTCGCGCCTCCTGACCTTAGGGTGGGAACCCATCCAGGCGTCCTCAGGGGCCCACGAGTGAGCGCCGCTGCCACCGCGAACGCCGCCCGGCCCCAGCCCGCTGCAGCCGGGGACCGGCTCGGAATCACCACCTTCTTCCATGCCGGCCGCTGCGGCGCGCCCGTGGTGCACCACGACCCGCGCCCGGCCAGAAGCAGGCGCGCGCGCGCCAGGGTTCCGCTTCCCCGCTGCCCTCAGCGTCCGCGAGGGCGGGCTCAGAAATTGGGAGGAAAGTTGGATATTAGCTCCTCCCCGTAGCAAAGGTAACCAGAGCTGCGCCGATGCTCTCTAGTTTCGCGTTGCTTTTATTCAAATCTGGACTGATTCTAGCGTGAAAAATGTTCAAAAGTAGCCTGAGCCCGAGAGCCCTTAACCCTCCTTAATTCAATGCTGTTTGTAGCTCATTTGAGAAAGTGGGGATACTTAAGTCCTCATGGCCTTCAGCACTGGGGCCCTGGTCTCAGATTCCTGGGAACAGGAGTGCCCTGACTTAGAAGTCTAAAAGAGAACCGTAGTTTTAGAGTGAACCCACCTTTCAAGATTAGACGAAATATGAGCTAAATAGGTATTCGGAGAGACAGATACAAATCAGAAAAGCATGTGACCCAGAAGCCAAGGACGAAGTGCAGGACAGGTAGGACATTTTTAAACATTTTTAAACTTACTGAGTGAAATAGGAAGCCACTGGAGGCTCCTGTTATGTCTGACGTGTTTGCCCATGTAGTAGGAACTCTAGCCAACAGACAGCACAGCTTGTACTTTTTCTGTTTCTTGGCAGGCCATGTGTTTTGGTGTAAACAGGTGATCATGCCTTGTATCTGTGCAGTTGTACTTGTAAGAAAATGGCAGGGAAAAGACATGTAAGTGGTGATGATAGTGCAACACGGATTTTTGAGGACGGTTAGGTTGAAGAAGAGTTTTGTGATGAAAGTGAATGAAGAAACTTTTTTCAATATGCAGTGATATTAGTTCCAGTGAATCTGAAGCTAGAGAAAAAGAAGAAAGTTTCAATAATAGGAAACTTGTAACAAGTAGCTGGAAGGGTTTATCTTGCTGGTGATCGTATAAAGTTCCAGTACTCCGTCACACAGCAGGGATTCACTTTTCCTCAAAGTGCTGGACCAAAAATGGAACTTGAATATTTCCAGCTCTTTTTCTCAGATGGTCTTATGGTGAAATTGTGACCATGACAAATATGTATGCTGTGGGAAAAATACAGAATGTGACTCCACTAACAAAATATTCAATGTGGTACTCGTGAAAGGATGTTTTGTCAAAAGAAATGAAGGTGCTCTTTGGTGTAATACTGAACATGGCTCTGAATTTGAAGGTGCAGTTAGCTACTATTTTACAGGAGATTGGCAAGATTGAACCCCATTTTTCAAGGATGTTTTCTCTCTTCTTTGTTTTTTCCAAATACTTTGGATACTGCATTTAGTTCTTCCTCTTGCAGCTGAAGGGAGTGGATGTACCCATGGGAGCAAGGTGAAGAGTATTACTGAGTTTATTGACAATAAATGCAAAGAATTTTATGTACCGAGAAGAAACGTGTTTATAGATGAGAGCACAGTAGGTTTCAAAGGAAGGATACAATTCAAGTGCTACAATTCAAAGAAGCCCACAAACTGGGACCTATGGATATTTTGCCTCTGTGATTCAGAAAATGGTTAGGTATTTCTTCACATTCCCTATTACATCAAGACAACAACAGAAAGTTTTATTCATCCTGATTTGCCACTTACGTCTCAAAGACTAATTGATTTGGCACAAGTTTTTCAAGCACATACGGGTGGTTCAGGCCATTACATCTACACTGACAGGTTCTACACAAGCCCTCAACTTGCTTGGGAATTGTATAAAATGAAAATACATATAACAGGAACAGCTATGGCATCTAGGAACAATTTTTCACATGATATGAAAAAGCATAAACTTCAGGAATATGAATTTATATGCCTATCAATGTGATATGAAAATGGCGTGCCTCTCATTCCATGACAAAAGTTTAGTGACAATGCTAAGTACATTCTTTGGCCTTCAAACACAGTTGATCACTCATTATAGGAAGAAAGAGCCTGTTCAATTTGAAAAACTGACAGTTATTGTAGAATACACAAAGTTTTGGGAAGAGTGAACAGAGCTGATCAGCTGATGTTATGGATTTACAAGGAGGTCATACAACTGGTGGAAAAAAATTATTCTTCTGGCTGATGGAAGATGCAATTGTGAACAAGTGCATGCTTTATCATTAGCTAAGAAAGAGAGTGGAGAAAAAGTGCAGACACACCTTTCTTACAGGAGAAATCTCATCACTCAGCTTGTGAGCAATGTGAGGAACAGAAATTCAAGGAAGAAGGGAAGTCTTCTGACACTAAGGAAAGCCTAGATGAGAAGATACATTTAATAATACAAAATGAAAAAAATCAAAAAAGGGTTATATGATTCACAGCAAAAGAAATAAGAAAGGTGGAAGGAGAGAAATCATTTTCTACTGTGAGACATGCAAGAGGAAGCCTGGACTTCATCCTGGAGATTGCTTCAAGAAGTACCACACTCAAAAAATTTATAAACAAGAATAAACAAAAACACTTCAATTATTTTGTGTAACCTAAAATATATAATAAAATCATCAGGTGAGTTCATATTTGTGTTATTCTCTTTTAAAACCATAGGATAATTACAAGTAATCCACCAACCTCTTTCCTGCCCAAAATAAACAAGAGCTGGGGAGTGTGTCAAGTAGCAGAAAAATTGAATCAGAATGGTTTCATAGGATCACTCTGACTAATGTGTTGAGAATAGATGGGGAGGTATAAGCAGGGACTGGTTAGGAGGCAATTGCATTAACCAGAGCAAGAAATGACTTTCAAAATTCAAAATACCAGGCAGAAGAGAACTTCTGCTTCCAAATATGGTAGTCTAAGACTCTACTGGCCCTTCCCTCAGCAGATAAAACTTGGACATGACAAAAAGTAACTACCTGAATATCCTAGAGTATGAACAGGTAGTAAGGGCAAGCTTGCATGGAGTCACTTATAGATGAGAGACTCTATAAGACAGTTCCCCTCTTCTTGCTAGGTATGGGCAGTGCTAGAGGCAGGCTTTGTAGCAGCCAGGGTACATGTAGAAAATCTATCAGTTTTTCTTATCTGAGGAACCAAAAGAATAAAGCCAGAAGATTTTGAATGCCAAAGAGAGTAGGAAATACCAAGGAGTCAAAGAGTGGATCCTCAAACTCTGTCAACCCACATCTCTGACAGATCCTGAATGACCCAAAATAGAATCACAGCCCCTCAGTTGCTGCCCCCCAACGAAGAGAGTTTGTGGTTCAAATCCAGCCAAAAAAATTACTTGTTGATACAAATGAAGTAATGTTTATCAGAGAAAAATAGTAGAACTCAGACTTTCCATAATTTAACACTGGTAAAGTCCAGGATACTATCCAAAATTATCTCTATTTGAAAATCAAGATAATGTATCACATTAGTCAGAGTCTGACCCCGAGCCAAGTCAGATGTGGAAAGAGACAGATAATGGATTTTAAAGCAACTGTTATAACTATCCTTAATGAAGGATGACGCTAACTAGTGACACTGACTGACACTAATATAAAGTGATTGGAAGTGAATAAATCTTTCTCTCTGACCCCTCAAGATCCAGATTAGTTCCTATGATGGCATTTATTGAAGCATAAAGAGCATTTTGTTGCTAATCTGAGTACAGAGAAAATTTTATAAGTCAGTAAGGGATTAGGCTATGTGAACAAAGTTTAAGTATCTTCAGGGGAAGAGCTTCAGGCTATTTTAAATTGCACACGAACTTTATGGACACCCTGTATTAAATCCTTTGACTTTTAATGTCACTATCTATTTAAGAGTTGAAGGATGAAAATTGTGTCTCTTGGCTTCCATCTTATAAGTAATGAAAACTTAAATAGGTCTTGGTGATTCAGAATGGCTAAGAATAAATACAAAAGATTTGGGAACACTGAGACATTCAAGTATAGAATCAAAATGGCTTTTGCGGCAATCTAGAGTGAAAGCCACCAGAGACCAAGGGAGAGTTTCAGCATCTGGTGACCTGCAGGTTTTCTCCTGTTGTAAATGCTTTAATAGTTCACTCTATTAAAGAACCAAAGTGGTTAGGGGAAAAAACTAGGTAAGAAATAACAGATAACCCCCTCCCCCCGAGTATACTGGATTTAATCAAATCCAGTGTAATCTGGCACTTGCTGAACTGATTTTCCAACTTGATATCCTGAGCCAGACTCTTTTATTCAAACACACCTCTTCAATGTCTAGGCAGAGACATTAATTCAGTAAGAGTCTCAAGAGGAAAAGTGAATGCCGAATTGTGATGTGAACCTTTCATGTGTTAAGAGAGAGAAAAGAATAATAAGCAGAAAAAGCTTTTATAAGTATTGAATAAAGACAGTGATTCCAAGCTGAAAAATGTAGGCTAGCATTCTAGATCAGCTTTTCATTCACTAGTTTTAAGGACGTTCCTATGTATCTTATTCCCCCTTTTTTTTTTGTACACAAAACATACAATTTCCCATTCTCTGTGTTTCAAGAATAAGTGAAATGTTAATACATTTAGAAAAATATTCAGAAAGCTATGATATTTTGTTTATATGCATGAGCATATGTGAGACGTCTCCAACATATAGAAAATAATGGTTTTCTGTCCATTTTTTCCATAAATGGAAGAGTATAATGTAAATTTCTCATTCACAAAACCAGGATATAGTTCATTTTTAAAGGAATGCTTACATTTAGAACAAAACAATAAGAATAAGGTACCTAAGACAAAGATGAGCAATAACATTATAGAGAACATGATGAATGCTACTGAAGATAATTAGAGAAGATCTAAATAAATAGCCTAAAATGGTAACCTAAAACATTCAGTATTGTAAAAACGGCAGTTTCCCCCAAATTGATCCACAGATCCAAGCAATGATAATCAAAACCCGAGTAGGGATTTTCCTAATATCTGATAAGCTGATTCTCAAGTGTGGGCATAAAGGCCAAAAAGAACCAAGACGTTTCTGATGAACAAAAGGAGAGAAATCCTTACGAAGGTCTGTAATTATGAGTATGTGATACTGGTCCAGGGATAGGTAAATAAACGAATGGAACTACATAGGAGCCAAGGAACAAACCCATACAAATGTGGACAGAGGTGACATTG